AGCTGGAAGAGAACTAACTATTGATGGTGGCATAAGTGAGTTTTTTCTGTGTTTCTTGTTGTTCCCTCAACCTTCTGAGCTAGCAGTTCTAATCTAATTTGGCCAACAGCTGAAGAAAAAAAAATCTCAAGAATTCAGCTATAAACATCTTCAGTTATTCATTTTTCAATCACACATTTTCCAATTTAATACTTGGCTCCCATGCACTTTGCTTGTACTCATTGTTACAATTTAGGGCATCATATCACCATGACTTTGTATCTCAGAGACCATGGGAAAACAAACTAGTTCTCTTAGCAAACCAGACTAACTTTTCATATCTAATAGAATTGAATTGAATTCACTTGTGAAGAATATTTAACTGATCTTTAACTTTTAAATTTTCAAGTTGTCTCAAGCTTAAAAAAATCATTACAATTAAAAAAATTATAGAAGTACATCAAAAGATTTGCTGTTATTGACTTCAAACTATATTACAGAGCAATAGCAATAAAAAACAGCATGGTACTGGCACAAAAACAGATAGGAAGACCTGTGGAAACAGAACAGAGGACCCGGATATGAATCCACACAGCTATGCCACCTTGTTTTTGACAAAGGTGCCAAAAAACATATGATGGAAATAGCCTCTTCAACAAATGTTGCTGGGAAAACTGGTTATCTGCCTGCAGAAAACTGAAACTAGATCTATGTTTATCACTCTGTACTAGTATCAACTCAAAATGGATCAAGGACCTTCATATCAGACCCAAAACTCTGAAGCTAGTACAGAAAAGAACAGGGAATACTCTGGAAGCAATAGATATAGGCAAGGACTTCCTCAACAGAACTCCAGCAGCTCAGCAACTAAGAGAAAGGATGGACAAATGGACTACATGAAATTAAAAAGCTTCTGCACAACAAAAGAAATAGTCTCTAAACTGAAAAGACCACCCACAGAGTGGGGGAAAATATTTGCTAGCTATACATCAGACAAAGACTGATAACCAGAATATACAGGGAGCTCAAAAAGCTAACCCCCCCCAAAATCAATGACCCAATAAAGAAATGGGCAACTGAACTAAACAGAACTTTTTCAAAGGAAAAAATTCAAATGGCCAAAAAACACATGAAAAAAATGCTCACCATCTCTGGCCATAAAGGAAATGCAAATCAAAACTACACTAAGATTCCACCTCACCCCTGTTAGAATAGCATCATCAAGCAACACACCACAACAGGTGTTGGCAAGGATGTGGGGAAAAAAGAACCCTCTTACACTGTTGGTGGGAATGCAAGCTAGTGCAACCACTCTGGAAAACAATATGGAGACTTCTTAAAAAATTAAACATAGATCTGCCATATGATCCAGCAATCCCACTCCTAGGGATATACCCAAAGGAATGTGACTCAGGTTATTCCAAAAGCATCCGCACACCTATGTTTATTGCAGTGCTATGCACAACAGCCAAGTTATGGAAACAGCCAAGATGCCCCACTACTGACGAATGGATTAAGAAAATGTGGTATTTATGCACAATTATATTTCTTTTAATACTCAGCCACAAAGAAGAATGAAATTTTGTCATTTGCAAGTAAATGGGTGGAACTGGAGAACATCTTAAGCAAAGTTAGCCAGGCTCAGAGACCAAAATTTGTATACTCTCTCTCATATGCAGACTTTAGACCTAAAACAAATGCAGTAATCTTATTGGACATGGGTCACACACTAAGGGGAGAATGAGTACAGGAGGAATAGAGAAAGGTAGAAAACCCAAAACTTGAAAGTGTTTGATGTGCCCACTGTAGACGAGTGAATAAAGTAATCTTAAACTGACAGAGGCCGCTATGGGAAGGTGACCGAGAAATAGTGAAGAGGTCTGGTAGAGATGAACCAATTCGGGTTGTAACACACATGTGTATGGAAGCAATGCTAGGAATCTCTCTGTGTAGCTATCTTTATCTCAAGCTAGCAAAAGTGCTATGTCTTTCTTATTATCTCTTACGTTTTCTCTTTAACAAAATTGGAGATGAGTGCAGAACAGGTTCTGCTTGGAAGTGAGGGGCGTAGGGGGCAGGGGAGAGAAATGTCCCAAACAATGTATGCACATATGAATAAAAAAAAAAAGATTTGCTGTTCTCTACTACTAGGGAGTGGATATTTTTAATGATGGTAAAACAAAATTGTAAGATTTTGTACATTACCATTCCTCATTTACTGCACTTAGATTCTGTTCCTTGGGTCCATATGTTTTAGAGGAATTTAAAGTCTCCCTTACTATTTATTTTATCAAATGCCAATTCTTGTTAAAACCCTACCCAATCTTCTACTGATTTTAGAGCTTTAAAATGTATACAAAACATCCAGATATTTTCATATGTGGTTATCCATGATTATCCATCAAAAGAAGATAGTAACAGTATGGATGTATGGAATGAACAGTTTAATTCCACTAATCTCGACAAGTATTTATTGTGTCCAAGTTGCAATGGGGTGTGGTAGGGTCCAAAGATACATCATCTATAGATCCATTCTTATCACAATTTAAAATCTCATATTGATTATTAGTTATATGTTGCTTTTCCTCAGACAGTTTTTCAGATTAACAGGTAATGAAATGGAATGAATTTGTATAGCACTCAGTGTTGGTATTTAGAAATAACAAAATAACTGATAGATGGACAGCATGAAGAAGTCCGAAGCCTGGGTGATTCAAGAATAGAACGGGTCTCTGAAAAATAGAGATTTGTCTACACTTAGAGAGAAGAAGGTCTGAGACATCAGTCTGTGGGTTAAGAAGAAATTACTAGAGACCTTATTTGCAAGTTAACGAGGCCACCTAGTGGTTTGTTATGTAAGTTAAGGTCATGTGAACATACGAAGCCATTGGTCTTTGGATTGGTCATGTGGGTCCCTAATCAAGTGTGACTAAGATTCTCATTACTTTTCATTAAGTCCACAGAACAAAGTCAGTATTGTTGAGGATAAGCACAATATGGTTCTAATACTTTATTTATAGTCTTCTTTTTATTAAAAAAAATTAAGGAAACTTACATGAAAATACAGTGAGATAGCACAAGCTAGAACTTGAGAACAAAAAAGAAAAAGATAGTAATAAAGGCATAAAAATAGTGGTAATTTCAAAATGTTTACTAAATCATACATATTTTCATGAAAGTACTCTAAAATTTCAGGCAAAAGTAGAAACCAATCGGTCATAAAATTCAGTGTTCGGAAAGATGAAGTGATTTTTAGGAAAAGTAACTCCCTATTTGAGGCTAAGAGTACAGAAATTTTTCTTCTGGATGTCCCTACAAATGAGATATTTCATAATGTAGCTATAATGTTCCCCATAGTCATAGTACAAATAAGAATCTTGCAGGATCATTTCTTAATTGTATCTACACTGATTTGGAGGAGAATGTGCATCAACCTCTATTTGAAGGGCTTTTATTCACTGATTGATCCTTATAACAAGCCAGTAGGTTTAAGTAGTATTGTTGCTATATTTCAGAGGAGGCTCTGAGTAACAGTGGGACTAAGAACTTCCATGAAGTCAGACTGTTAATAAATAGTAGAGTTGGGATCCAAACCCAGACCCTGGCTTAGTACCCAGGGTCTTTTCCAATATGCTATACACCAAATGGTCATTTAAGCACAATAAGGCTCATCCAGTCAATGCTTGAGTCTTCACCTGAGTTTATCCAGTCTATTGGGAATTATATAATTGTGTTTTAAGACAATGCTAATATAAGGCCAGGACTGCATATTTTTAAGATGATTTAATTAACTTTGCTCCCTTCCAAGGTCACAGACTTTATCTCCAACAACTAAAGGTATACTTGTGTACATGCTTTCAGTTAAAAAAAGGGGACCAGAGAATTCATGGCTTCCTGACTTCAAGAAAGGAGCTGAAAGCCAATGCCTTTTCATGACATATTCTCAGATATGATATCTAAAATGCAGTTATAACAAAAACACGCTTTGTTAGTTTTTCAAAGCAATATCTAGAAACATTTGTGAATGGCAGATAAATTTATTTTCTTAACCAGGCATGCAAGTTGATTGGCAATCAGAAAGGCAAGCCTTTTTTGTAAGAACTTAGTAGGGAAATAATGGCATCATTGAAACATTTTTTCAGTTATAGGAATCAAAATATCATATAGCTTGAGTCTTAAATTGAGCATTTAAGATGATGTTCTTTTAAGCTGTGCATTAGGGTAGTTGTGTGGCTAATGTCTTTGCTAAGAAAGAGGAAAAGGTTACTCTATAAAATGACTGCTCCATATAGATAAGTTTCTCTAAAAGCAAATTTCCATGACATTTTAAGGGAACACTTAAAATGTTTAAGGGAACTAGTGCTCCTGAAAGATTCAGCTTCTGTATTGGGACCAACATGATGGCCTACTAGCTAAGACCAATAAAGAACTTTTCAGAATGGTAATATTTTAATGGCTTCCTAAACTCTTGAAAGATTCATCCTATCAAGAGAATATAAGAAAAAAGAGCAGTGCTGGGTATGGTGTAGGAAACATTGGCTAGAAATCAAGGTGCTTCGGTTTCATAGATCTGTTATTGTGATAATAAAAGGAAAAATAGCTCAGTTTTCATGTGAACTTGAAAGTGAGACTTGGGTTCAAACACCAATTCTAATACCTATTTGTTGGAAGATATTGGACTTGTCAATTAAACTAATTGATCCTTAATTTCTTCATCTATAAATTGACCTAAATTCGTGGATTTTTTAGACATCACCTGCTTTGCAGGTGAAATCACTGAAGTTGTGACAATAGATAATGTGCAGAGCGAAGTAAGATATTATGTAAAATGCCATGCCACCTGATACAGAGCATTCTCTAGCAGTGGAGATGATGGTATTCCTGTCAACTTTATCTTGTCTACCCCTTTTCTCTTTTTAGTTATGTTTGAAGATTTGTGAAGAGAAGAACCACATACTTAAGTATGAGATATATGTTAGGCCAGAGGGTGTAAATAAAACTTAATTTTTATTTTCTTATAGGAGTGGCAAAAACTCAACTATGATATCTACAGCCTGCGGCAGATTCGAAGGGAAGTAAGAAGCAGATGGAAACGCATTTTAGAAGATTTGGGTGAGTCTGAAAGAGATTGTGAAGTTATAAAAATAACTAGTCATGATCATTACTCTTCCAAGTTTTTCACCTTGCTTTTATATAAGCAGTGTCAGTAACTGACTAATTAAGCTACCATGTACTAATTAGTTTCCCAATCCTGCTCTTTTACCCTCAGGCATGAACATCTGATATCTCTGTTGTCACCAGTCTGTGTCTTGAGGACACACTGTGCCATGTGTTACTCCATCTGTCCCCAGTTTAAGGTAGCAAAGGACAGTGGAGTCATAAGGGTGCTACTATTTATTGTTTTGCTATCAATTGGATTAGGTGAGATCGATTGGTTAATTGGTAATAACTATAGATTAGGCAGGTTGAGAGAAATGTTGTTTTTGTAAGAGAGATAACAAGAGTCAGTGCAAAATTTCAGAAGAAGTAAAAGGAAGAAAAGTTTCAAGGTGGGGGATAATACCTGAGGCATTAGAGTAAATATTTTCTTAATTCTACAAGGGTAAGGATGCAATAAACATGTCTCCCACATCATACAATAAACTTGCTTTACTGTTTAAGAATAAATTTATCAATTTGAAGTCCTTGATCCTCTGCTTTAAAAGAACATGACGCCTTGGCATCATAACTTTTCAAAGAAGGCACTCTAAATTGCCTGTTGCCTGTTGCTTTCGTTAGGGTGCAATGGGATAAGATGGATCTCTGCCCTTTTAACTCATCAGTTTTGCTGTGGGTTAATAATCTCCTTTTCACAATGAAGTTATCCAGGCAGATTTAAGTCTTTTCTATGTTGGGATAAATAATTTTCATCAGCCAAACCCTGACTGACACAGGCAATCTGGACTCAGAGAAGTAGGGAACTTGAGGAGACCAGTTGCAGATTGCAGGGACAGGTAGGAATTGTAGGGATCGGGGTTGAGGGACGCAAAGAGCAGGGAGACTAGGAAAGAGGGTTTTAAACTCCACAAAGGGGAGCAAGTGGCCAGTGGGCTAGTATATGAGGCTTAACTGAGGGAAAAGCTATCAAAGAAAAGTCAATGAGGAAAGGAAATTTAATTAAAGACTGAGTGGGATGCAGTACATGTGATAGTGCCTTTGGCTTCCATTTCTGATGTTTATGCACAGTTTACATTTGGGTTCCTTCTTTATCTCCTGCAGAAAGTGTATTGCAGGATGGTCATTTCCTAGTGACTACTTTACATGAGGGGTACATTTTTTTACCTTAGGTTTTCAAAGGGAAGCAGACTCTTTGCTGTCAGTCACAAACTTAGCACCATGAGTGATTCTAAGAACACAAGGAAAGCTCGAGAGATGCTGTTAAAACTGGCTGAAGAGACTAATATTTTCCCAACCAGCTGGGAGCTCTCAGAGAGGTATCTCTTTGTTGTGGTAAGTGGATGCCTTTTCTCATCTGCCCTGATTTTGCTTTAGTTTTTTTCCCTTTTTTGTTTTTCCCTCCACTGCTCATTCTAGTACTACGAGCATCACTGTGAGATGAGGTGGTGGATACTGTCACCATTATATGCACTGGTTTCCAGTGACTGGTAGCATCAGTATCTCTGAAGAGCTTTGGAAATTCAGCTTTCTGGGTTACCTCTAAAGCTGTTGAGGTTGAGATGGTAACTCAAGAGTCTGTGCTTCTCAGCTGACTGCTGTGCAGTTAGGGTTTGAACCATTTATAGGTCAAGAATGTGAGAAATACTGTTCTATAACCTAAAAGTAATTTGAAAGGTCTCTAAGATGGGCAGGGCATTTCTTGGATCATATCAGTAAATTGTTGAGAAAAATTAAATAAATGTTTTCAACTTGCTATTATTTCTAAGGTGGGTTTTGTTTTTTGTTAGATTGATCTTCCTGCCCACAGAACTTGGTTTCCAACTTGACAATCAGTCTTTTTTTTTTTTTTTCAGGACCGTCTCATTGCTCTTGATGCAGCAGAAGAGTTCTTTAAAATTGCTAGTCAAACTTATCCCAAGAAGCCTGGGGTCCCATGCCTTGCAGATGGTCAGAAAAAAACACACTACCTTGCATTTCCAAGTCCCTAAAGGAGAAGCTCAGAGGCAGAATGAGACTTTTTTTTTTAGGTTTTTATAAATTTTAATTAATTCATATTAATTTTTCCTTTTTATTATCATATTATTATTGTACTCAGCATACATTATGACATTTGCAAAAAGTTCTTACAATGTATCATAGTTAAATTCACCTCTTCCATCATTCTCCTTTATCCTACCTCCCTCAGTCCTGGAATAGTTTCATCAGTTCTCACAGAAATGAGACTTTGGTCTGGAAATAGTTTGTGAGATCGATGAAAAGTCCATGCCCCAGCTCCTATGGGAGTTGTATATTCTGATATAAAAACAATATATTACTAGAACTATCATTAAGCCCCAAAATTGATTACTAATTTTAAAACAATTATATAAAATACAATACTGGACAAAATATCCCCAATAAGATTAGGGTTTTGGAACCTCTCTTTGATTTGGAAAAGCCTGCAAACCTGGGATGGTGTTAGAGGCATTCTGAGCATCAGTATACATATTCAAAAGTTTAGATGTACCAGTAAATGTTTAGAAATGCTGTTCAGAAGTGAGTTTCGAATGGAATGCCTCCCCCAGCAAACTTCCACTACATGTAAAAAGTGCTTTTTCATTGTGATACATGCATCTTATTGATCTTACCAACATTACTGATATCTGGTACCCCCCACCTTTTTTTTTTTTTTGCATATGTCCATTTCTAGTCCAAAGCCCTTGACATTTTATCAGGGGTAGCATCTATAAACAGAAATGTTTGACACACCCCCCCATTTCCTCCTCTTTAATCCATTTCCTCCATTTCTGGATTATCAACTGAAGATTGCACTTGCTCAGAGACCTCCCATGCAGACTTGCAGACATGCAGGCAGTGATGCAGTGAAAAGGTTATTGCTGGATCATCGTCCAGTCTGAAAATGATTTTCAAAGTGCAATGCAGTTACTTCTTACTTTTGTCCACAGATTGAGAAGTCCATTTTAGAGTGACTTGCCATTTAAGCAAGGAGCTTGCCAAGAGATCATGGTTGATTTTGTTGAAAAGTCTTTAAGGACTTGTAGGATTTACTGTAGATTTGAGAATAATGCAATATTTAATTTTTTTTTTTTTACAGATTTGCACTTCTGACTTCAGGTTAAACTAACTTGTATTAGTCCATCCAGGGAGATTGTGATTGATAATTTTCATATCCCAATTAGTTTTCTTGATAGAGTATACGATGTTAAAATATTTCCTAGAAAGGGTAATGTTCTTTATTGCAGATCAATTTAACTGATGTGTTTCAGGAAAATTCTTCCTACTTAATAAGTAAGAAAAATTTATTTTTTATATTTAGCATTTAATCTCTGCTGATTGTTGTTAAAAATACACTTAAGTACTTCCCCTCACTTCGGTACTCTTGGAAAATAAACATACAAACAATGGAACAAGGAATAAAACAAACAAAAATCTTCTAGAATGTTGTATTGTTTTAATCTCTGTACTCAGAATTTGTGTTTTTTCTTTTTGTCTTTTTTGATGTCAAAATAGATCAGATTGTTTGCACCTACAGAGTACAAATGTTACATGTTTTTATTTTAATAAAGAATAAAGCAAGGATAAGATTGTCTCCATGGTTATTAAAAAACATGAATTCCAGGAAATTTTTCCAAGAAATTAAAAACTTCTGAATTACTTAAGTGTGTCATATTTCTGATGAATAAGAAGAAACATATTTTTTCAACAATTCCTTTTAATTAAAGGCAGCAGAGAACTGAGAGGCAGATGGATAAAGACTTTCTGTCTATCTAAATCCAGTCAAGGGTAAGCAAGGATAAGATTGTCTCCATGGTTATTAAAAAACATGGAATTACCCAGGAAATTTTTCCAAGAAATTAAAAGACTTCTGTATTAACTTTTAAGTGTGTCATATTTCTGATGAATAAGAAGAAACATATTTTTTTTCACAATTCCTTTTAATTAAAGGGCAGAGAAGCTGAGAGGCAGATGGATTTAAAGACTTTCTGTCTCTCTAAATCCAGTCAAGGGGTGGGTCTGTGCTAAGTATGAGTCTCCGTGGTGACCAAAGTGGCCACTTCAGAAGTCACAGTGTGCTCAGCAGGACCAGGGGCTACAGACAGTATGAGGAAACCACTGTGGTACTTTTCAAAGGTTAATCTGTGTATGCAGAATGATTTCAAGAGGGTAGATGGTTGGAAGTTTTTATGTTAGTAATTTTAATCCTGATGGACACCAGGAGAAAATCCTTGTAGTTAGCAGATCTAACATCTGATTTTGTATTTCATGGATGTTATTATGAAGAACAATAAAGTATATATGTTTTTCTTAAGGGTGAGGGGCACCCAGGAAGGCCCATTTACCAAAGTGATGAGGAATGCATTGGTGAGGGGCACCAGTGTCATTGAGAAGCTTTATGGTAGCTATGTAGGCCAGGTGCTGTTAGAGAAGTAGGCGTACTGGTAGCAAAGGCATGGAAGAGTAGGGGCCCGATGGCAGTGCTCCACTGTCAGAGCAAGTGGGTACAGTTATCATAATGAGTAGCCTGCAGAAAGCTTTGGAGATGATTAATAGAAAATGGCAAGTTAGATAGGTAAGCAATAAGAATATCACTCAAGCTATACCATTGAAATACCCCAAGGATAGATCCTCTGTGATTATTTGCATTGAGGAAGGGGAGTGCACAAATACTCCAAGGAGCATGAGACAAAAAGTTCCAACTTGATATTGATATTCAGGGACCAAATTACTATTGTCACCCACCATTTATAGTGGGGGCACGTGGGATTCAGGTAATATATGGAGTTCTCCCCCATGTCTTCCTCGCCAAATTCATGGGTCCACTCAATAGTCATCTCCCCACTTCCAGAATAAATTAGACTGAATGTACTTGGGTGTTCACATAAGCACTATTCTTTTCTTGACTTATGGATTAAGACTATCTTAATGGGAAGGCCAAGCAAAAACTTCTACATATTTTCGACCCCCGTCTAAGAGAGTAAACCAAAATTAACATTACATTCCAGGGAGATGGCAGACATTACAATTAACTAAAGTTCATACTAAAATCCATAGCTTATTCAGATACATTTTTTTCATGTTTTTTAAAAATAATTATTAGTATATAATAGTTGAATAGGGGGATTCTTTGTATATTTACGTATATGCTTACCATATATTTTGGTTAGAGCTACCTCCTCTATCATTCTCCCTCATCTCCCTACCCTTCCTTAGAACAATTTCAACAGGTTTTGTTCTTCTATTTTCATATATGAATACAAAACACATCCACCATATTCACCCTCATTCCCCATTTCCTTATGCCCTTCTCCTCCCACTGACACCAACCTCTGGAAAGACCTATTTTACCCGCTTGTACTTTATTTTTTTATTTTTAAATGTATGTCGATAGTCAAAGGGGTTTTTCCTTGGTGCATTCAGGCCTATATATTGTACTTTAATCAAATTAACCCCTCCCACTACTTACTCTTTCTTTATCACCATGGGTCCCCAATATTTGACAGATATACTTATTTTTTTTACCTTGCTTGTAGGATCCCATCTAGGACACCATATTACATTTATTTGTCTGGTCCCCTTAAACTCCTGTTGGCTATAATGGTTTCTTAGGCTTCCCTTTCTTTCAATGACCTTGACATTCTTGAGAAGTACTGGTCAGGAATCTAGAAGAAAGAGATGTGAAGACTGGCTGAGTATAGGTTGTCTTAGGAATCATCTTCATGCAGTTTTCCTCAGAAGAAGAAATACACTCCAGTCTCAATCCTGAAGGAGAGTCCTCCAGATCTGACCATGAAAAGCAGTAGATCTGAGCAGCATATGGGGTGGACTATAGAAGAGGACTGTGCAGTACACTGGTCAGTTTGACTCCCTTGGGGACTGACACATACTCATATCCCTTAGCTACTGTCAGTTCTGGTGCTTGACCTTTCAGCTCAGTCATTTTCTGGGGGCTGCCATTAGCTAAGAAAGCTGTCTTGCCCACACTTATTTTGAATCTGGCAGCTTCCTACATCTGTTTATAGTTAATTGATGGAGGGTTTGAAGGATTAACCCAGCTCCAGAGCTTACTGTTAGATTGGCCAATATGCTATGACTACATCTCCATGAAACTTCCTTCTCCAGTCCTGCTTTCCTTCTCTCCTCCATAGTTATTTGCTGATAAACATCTTACCCGTCATCTCCACTTCAGACTCTTTCCCCCAGGGAAACTAATTTTGACAGTATCTAAGTTACCAAAACAGTACTCACAGTTGTACTTCTAGCTGCTACATTCGTGGTGGTTCAACATTAGCTTTAGAATAATCATTTCAATTTTACTATAATTAATCTATTAAAATATATATTTCATTGTGAATTATTTTTAAATGTATTTATCTTTTATATTAGTTGGGGCACTATTTTTTAAAAAAATTCATCTTAGGCATTATTATCTGACAATTTAATTGACAGAGATGGAATGGTTTCTAAAGACCATCATTAAAGTTATTCTTCTTTAGTTAAGACACTATGCATAAGTTTTCCCAGCTGTTACCTGTGTAAAGGCAGGAAGTTTGGAAAGGTGCTGCATTGACAGCAGCAGAAACCCATTTATCTGACCATCTTCCAGTGTCAGGGAGGGCTCATGGCACAAACCTGGCTTCCTTCCCAGTGGACTAATGTATTTATTCTTTCCTTCAGATCACTTTCTACTACTAATATCAAGAAAATACTTAAATTTGATTCAGTTGCATTGAAAGGAATATGCTCTCATAATTCCCAAATGACTACCAAATACAGAATGAAAATAAAATGGTCTGACACGTTGAACTTTCTACTCAGTGTTTCAACAAGTGTGGTATTTTCCAGAGTTCTTTTTATTAGAACATGTTAATTGTACAAGAAAAGGGTTTCATTTTGACATTTTCTCTTTTTTGGTGGGACTGGAGTTTGAACTCAGGGCTTTGCACTTGCAAAGCAGTGCTTTATGACTTGAGTCACACCTCTAGTTCATTTTTCTCTGGTTATTTTTGGAGATGAGGTCTCAAACTATTTGCCCAGGCTGGCCTTGAACTGCCATCCTTCTGATCTCAGCCTCTCAAGTAGCTAGGATTACAGGGGTGAGCCACT